AGGGAATGGCTTCCAGTGGGAAAGGGGAGATTGGGCTGGGATCTTGGCAAGGAATTCCTGCCTGGGCTGCAATTCCCACATTTGCTGGAGCTGATCCCTGGATCCCTGGGAATGTCCAAAGTCAGGTTGGACATTGGGATTGGATCCACTTGGGATGGTGGAAGGCATCCCTGCCATGGCAGGGGGTGGCACTGGGTGGTCTTCAAGGTCCCTCCCAACCCAGACCGTTCTGGAATTCCATGAAATCCCTCGGAGGATGGAGCAGGATCACTCCTCCTCCTTTGTGCCCTTTTAAGGTCCTTCAGACCACGCCCATAGTAACAAATTAAACCTGGCAGGACCCATTCCCTGGAAGTTCACCGGCTCCTGCTCCTCTTTGCAGGAAATGGGAAGGGGGGGACCCGGGCGTGGCCAACCAGAAGACCCCCACCAGCCTCCTGCTGACTCCGGAGGGGACATTCCACAGCTTCGGCTACACCGCCCGCGATTACTACCACGACCTGGACCCTGAGGAGGCCCGCGAGTGGTTCTACTTCGAGAAGTTTAAGATGAAGATCCACAGCACCAGCGTGAGTCCCTGCCCCCATCCTGATGTTCCCGGTGGGATTCTGGCCAGGTTGGGAATTGAAATGTTTGGGGAAAAAAACCCCCATTTTAGCCAATTTTAGGGCGCGAATTTGAGGTTCTGCCATCAGAGATGCTCCAGGGTGGGTGGATGTGGCTGCACAAAGTTTCAGGTGCCTGAGGTCCAGCTGTTGTGGTTGGTTCAGGGGGATGAGCAAATTCCCAAGGTTTGGTGATGGATCCAGCCACTCCCCAGCCCCTCGGGTGATCCATTTGCTCTACCCTGCAGGATCTGACCATGAAAACTGAGCTGGAAGCTGTCAACGGGAAGAAGATGCCGGCGCTGGAGGTGTTCGCCCACGCACTGCGCTTCTTCAAGCAGCACGCGGTGCAGGTGGAGCCATCTCCATCCCTCCCCCTCCTTCCCAAATGGAATCCTCTGTGTCCTCTCCACACATTCCATGTGAGGGTGGGGAAGGGCTGGGCTGGAATTCCCAGATTTGCTGTGGCTGCCCCTGGATCCCTGGAAGTGTCCAAGGCCAGGTTGAACATCGGGGCTTGGAGTCACCTGAGATGGTGGAAGGTGTCCCTGGGTGGGACTGGATGGGATTTAAGGTCCTCCTAACCCAAACCATTCCATGACCGGAAGCCCCCAGGGGTCACTCCTGCTTGTCCCCTGGCAGGAGCTGAAGGACCAGTGCCCGTCCCTGCCCGAGAACGATGCCATCCGCTGGGTCCTCACCGTGCCGGCTATCTGGAAGCAGCCGGCCAAGCAGTTCATGCGGGAAGCGGCCTACAAGGTGGGGGGACTCTGGAGGGTGGTGACCCTCAAAGGAGTTGTGGTCTCTGGAGTATCCCTTTCCTCCCTCCAACTGAATTCCCACTGCCCGAGGAAAGGGTTAGGTGGGATCTTGGGAAGGAATTCCTGGCTGGGAGGGTGGGGAGGGGCTGGGATGGAATTCCCAGATTTGTAGTGGATGCCCCTGGATCCCTGGGAGTGTCCAAGGCCAGGTTGGACACTGGGGCTTGGATCCACCTGGGATAGAGGAAGGTGTCCCTGCCCATGGCAGGGGTGGGAATGGGATGGTATTTAAGGTCTCCTCCCACCCAAACCGACCAAAAGTTGTTGGGTAATTGGGTGGTTGGATATGGTTGTGCAGTTGGCGCACTGGTTTTTTTTGGGTTGTTGGTTGAGTGGTGGTTGGTTGGTTGAGTGGTGGTTGGGTGCTTGGATGGTTGGTTTGATGCTTGGGTCACTGGTTGGGTGGTTGGTTGAGCAGGTGGTCGTTGGTTGGGTGATTGGCTTGGTGCTCGGGTCATTGGCTGGTTGTTGGTTGTTTGGTTGTTGGATGGTTGGTTGGTTGTTTTGGTGTTCAGGACATTGGCTGGTTCACTGGTTGACTTGGTCATTGGTTGAGTGGTTGGATGATTGAGCAGTTGATTGGTTGGGTGGTTGGTTAGGTGGTAAGGTCATGGGCTGGGTCATTGGTTGGGATGTGAGGTCATTGGTTGGCTGGTGAGGTCTTTGGTTGGTTGTGTGGTTGGATGGGTGGTGAGAGTGTTGGGTTGTTGTTTGTTTGTTTGTTTGTTTGTTTGTTTGTTTGGTTGTGTGGGTGTATTTGCAGCAGGATGAGGGGTTGGGTGGGTGGTTGGG